GCAAATATGAATGAAAACAGTGCTGCCGGTTGACCGTCGCATTGTACAGTAAAGTTTTCAGTCTCATTTTTTGTTTTCAATACTTTAATATTAGCAAGTAGGTTTATGCTAAAACAATTAGACTTCTCGCTCTCATTTTCTATGAGTCAAATTGTCGATTCGGCGCTACGGTAACCCAACCAGAACGTTGATTATTTTTGTATGATTTTATTTATTATTTTATATGAAATTTTCATTCTGGAAAAATTCTGGAACATTCTGGAAAAATGACAGGTAGAGAGACAAAAGAAAAGAACTGAATTGATTCTGACTGAGGAAGTCAGAGCTCAGCTTTCGCGTCAGTCTGGTATTGGCCTTTCCGAGTATATAGGAAGCACGCTGATCGCTGTATCGTATCATGTGACTTCGTTTAAGGGATGCCATTCGTCTTTTTCGTTTCACAGGTTTTACTTTTTGCTTCGAGTGACATTTACCGTTGTTTCAAGTTTTTCAAGCGAGTGTGATAACCCTTCCGCTATATTGAAAATAATGGCGTCAATCATGTGACTGTTTTGAGCGACGCAATTCGTAGTTTTCGTTTCACAGGTTTTACTTTGTTAATTGAGTGACATTTACTTTGGGTTTCGGTCTATTTTTCAAGCGAGTTTGATAACCCTTCCGCCATATTGAAAATAATGGCGTCCCCTTAAACAGCGCCATGATTCAACGCGCATCCTACTCGTCACCAGATTTCGCGCAACCTCGGAAATGCCAATAGTTTTTTTTTTTTTTTCAATAGTTAGTTATGCACACCGAAAAAAAACCAGTGATGTCTCTGTGGTAGTTTCTATATTCAGAATGGTTACCATGCAGGGCCTAAAAAATCATCGAATTATTTTTTTAACCCACGTCATATCTGATAACTTCCAGCAGACAGTTTTTCTTTACTTTCTCCTTGTAAAACGCCCCTTTGCCTGATCGTTTTAAGCGTCGGTTGCTAATTTTTCCGGTGGTGACACATCAAAGGAGTGCTGCGCTGCTTCAAATTCATAAATGAGTGATCAAAAATTAAACGAGATGACTAAAATAGATGTGCAGTAGTTAGGTTTTTCGAATTTAATACTTGAATTGTTATGAGCAAACCGTGGAGACCTGGGAAACATGGTATGAGATTCTTATGCCCTCTACCTCTTACCTTGGTGATCTTGGGTTTTATCGCTGCACATGATCATCATATGTGAGTTGAATTCCATCTTTCTCTAGTTTTTCTTTTGGATCTTCCGAAAATAATTTCACTTCTGAATTCAAATTTTAAATGGCAATTCTATTCAGCGTGAATCACTGCGTTATCGATATAAAATAAATTACCTACTTTTTTCCCCTTAAATATCCCAGTTTACTGATTACTGCATAAGCTAGAAACTTGCCGAACGAATTCTAATAATTGAGACTAGCACTTAATAAAAAACAATATAAAGATAAAGAAGACTGAATAATTAATTCCACGCTCATTTGATCTACTAATGACATCACTTATAATAGGATATCATTAATGCTATACTTAGTTGCGACGCGTCTGCGTCATAATCATTTGATAATTAGTTTTCTATAATTCATAAATATGCAATAGGTAATCTTAGCTTGCTCCCTTATTTCCCACGTCTGATATTTCTAGAAACGTCTTTAATATCAACCCATTCTGCCAAACTAAGTTTCTATTTCCGTTAATTTTTTTCGGGTTTTACTTAAATTGCTTTATCTTACCGATATTCATTGAGCTATAGCTTAAAAGAACAATTATAATAAATATTTAATGAAATGTTTACTAAGACGTTGAACAAACACCGGGGTTTTTTTTTTTTTTTGTTTGTTTTTTTTCTTTCTAACAACGAATGCGTGCATCAGTTGGTGCTGTTAGCTTTGTCTTCATTACCTAGCACTTTCAGTTTTTTGGTAATATCCATACAACGATCACTTCTGAATATCGAGCAGAGGAGAAATACATTTTGTAAAACACTTCATGTATACTTTTTCCTTCATTTTTAATTAGAGCTTATTCACATGAATTAACCACGACTAAAAGTGGTTCATCTACCCTCAACCCCTTGATGTATCTTAGTTACAACATGATTAATTTTTTTCAGAAATAAAGAAAATCGCCTTCTGCGCATTTGCGGTAATTTCTTTGATGTACCGCAATAAACGAGCCTTCTTAAGATCTATCTTTTGCCTATGTTTCCACACTTTTTTAATTATGTTGTTTTCATCTTTAGTTCATGGTATATTAGTGCAAAATTAAAGGGTTAACGCTTTTTTTTTTTTTTTTTTTTTTTTTTTTTTTTTTTTTTTTTGGAAGAGACACGCTAGCGCAAAATCGTTGAAGAATATTCTATGTGATGTCTCTGTACTGATAAAAACACTCTTGAAGCTGTAGAACACTCGAGAAGCTGGGCACACTGTAGAACCCTCGAGAAGCTGGAGACACTGGGCAACTCCTCGTGTTCCTAAGTTTTCT